AAATTCTCATGTCCAAGGTGGTTTTCTATCATAATTTTTTGGTTTATTCATTTTGGAGGTAGAGACACCAGTCAAGGTGTACAATTGCCATTTTTTATTTATGGGAGCAAATTTAAAGGCTGTTTCCTTTTCCTTTTTGCATGATCTCTAAGCAACACAAGATTAAATAATCCTTTGCTAGATTCAGATTGTGAATGCAATAGAACAAAATGACCTATATTAGACATCTGTAGCACGAGAAAAAAAATTCTCTAATGCATTTTGTCTGATGCATAATTTGGTTTTGGATACCTTCCATTCATGGAAATGAAGATCAGAATGAAGCTGTCAGGATCTATCAGAATATATTTTGCAGAATTGTACTAAAAAAAGAAACCGTAATCCTTAAGTGATCAGGGGAAAATCTTTCAGAAATAGGGGGGCAAGGCTTCACTTGTATGATCCCTGCAGTGACAAGAATGTTATCAGAATTCTGCTTCTAGTTCCAGACATCAAAAATGAGGGCAAAATATCCAAAGGGATTTTGGAAATAGTTATTAAAAAGCTAAACTTCCAGAAAATTGGACTTGTAGTAGTAGATTGAACTTTGTTCAGTCTTTTTATTCAGGAAAGAATAAAAGATAGGTTGATGACAAAAAAAAATGTGATGACGATCTTCTGAGAAGGGCTGAAATCTGACCACGTTCATATATTTTATTGTATTTTTACTTTTGAGCTGTAACAGCACTTGAGATACTTACAGCATACTATATACCAGTATGCACTAGAAAGTAATGTCTCCTGAATCGACCTTTCTGTCATGCAGTCAACTACAATTCAACTGTAATTTTGCCTTATAAATTCATGTTTAAGAGATCTTTAAGCAATTTGTGAGAACAGACTATAAAGGGCATTTTTAATGTAATTACACTGTGCAACAAGATTGTGTTATTTCTATCGCTGAAAGAAGTATTTTCTTATATTTGGGGTGATATTTCAGTAGAATCAGGAGAGTGTTGGCTGTTTAAGAATGCTCTGATGCTTGATTTAAGTGGGAACAAGGAAAATGTTTATTATAAGTTTTGGTTTGTTTGTTTTTCAAGTTCTCTGAAGATTACTATTATCCCTCATTTAAAGAACTGCTAAAAACTTGTAATCCAGCAATCAAGAATGTAAATCTAAGTACAAGATTGAGTTGGTGCTTCAGTGTATACACAAATTCATGTATTTTCTGAATCATCAAGCATAATTTAATCCCTCAGGGAAGTCATGCTTGACCAGTCATTTTGATGAATATGCAGAAATGCTGATAAAAAGAAAAGAAATAACTGATTTTGATGTGGTAATGTTTTGGATGTTTATTTTTAGTTTGTTCTGGTCACAGTTTGCCAAGATTTACTAATTTCAGATCTTGGCATGCATTAAAACTGCTTTTTCCTTAGCTTTAGATACTGGATTACTTCTATTCACACATTATATTTGCTGTAATCAGTTTTCTTTTAAGAAATTGCTTTGGTTGTTAGCCAATACATAGAAATTTTAGGGATAACTTTTGCTAAGTGGGACATCAGTTCTTCATACATGCTTTTATCCTTAAAGCTGTTTCTGCATTAGTATTTTAGAACATTTTATTCATCTTGCACTCAGGAATGACCTTTGTCAGCTGTCACTGTCAACTAGGCATCGCTGCTCCTGACAGTTACTGTCAGCTCTGAAGAGATGTAAATCTCTATGCTATATTCCACAGGGCTGGAAAACTGAATCTCTCTTAACTGTGGAATACATTGTGGAATAAAAACAACCACCCAAGTACACGGCAAATACTATTTCTTCAGAAAATAACTTCCCCTTCTCCTTGCCTTTCCCCTTTTTTGAAAGACCACAGAGTATGTCCCACAACCACAACTCTGTCTCCTTTTCCCTTGTACAGACATGCTTATTTATTAGGTTTCTGGCAAATTTCCAGCTGCCTCCAGCAGTGATAATTTGTTTGCTGTGTACAGCGCTGGGCACTCTTTCAGTTTGAAAGACCAATCTGAGGTGGTGATATTTCAAAATTTGGATCTCTATCTCATCTTCTGTCAGAGAGAAGGCCTGCTTGAACAGAGCTGCTTATCAATACTGGTCAGAAAAATAAAAAAAAAATTAAAAAATTTAAAAAAAAGAAGAGATCTTTACAAATTTAGTTCAGTATTTTTCCTATATATTTAAGTCTTTTTTTAAGTTTAAAACAGACTTCTGATATAAATGAAAAATGTATATTTCCTTTCAATCATTTTTGACATCTCTCAAGTTTTCTGATTATTCTTAGACAACCCAGCTGTACTTCAAACTGCTTTTTCCTCTTGACATGCATATATAAACAATCTGAGAAAAAGAGGTAGAAAATAGGAACTGAAAATATATCAGCAGAGAAGCAATGATGCTACTTATAACAATGATTACTTTGGTAACTATGGTGCTGGCAATTTTTTCCTCGTTGAAAAAAAGCTACAGTGCTGCAAAAGGCACATAAGAAACAAAATTTAAAGTGGGGTAACTTCCAGGCTTGATGATAGTATTAGAAGAAATTCAGACTTTCTCTTATATTAGTTTGTAACAAAAAAAAAATCAATCAGTATTTAAAAAAAAATAAAATTAAACTTAGAATCATTTAATAAAAATATCCAGACGATTCATAAAAGAGAATTTCAAGAAGTCACAGGACATATTCTTGTAGAATGTGTGGACAAGTTGTCCTCTAGGGATCATCTAGCCTTGCTGAATAGTCAGTGGCCTTTGTATGACCAAAATGACAAACATTAGGTTGAAATTCTGAAACTGAAACTGAAACGTTTCCCGTACTGCATTTATTCTGTTTATTCAGCAGGCATTTCTGTCCTTAGCTCTGCCGTATTTTTTCATGTTTAAAATAGTAAAACGAACATAAATAAAATTTTCTCTATTGGTACAATGTTGACACCCTCGCTCATGGTGTAAATCTCTTCAAGAAAAAAGACACACCGAACCTGTTGAATGAAGGCATTGCTTTGTGATTTATAAATTTGATTGGATAGATTCCTTATGTCATCTTCAAATTTGGTTGGGTTTATGCTTTATAGTGAATTTGTCCCTGGGTGTAGATACCTCACCGTTCTATAGTGGCTGTTTTAAGTAAAACAGTTGTGGTGCCTGAATCAATGTGCTGAAAGTGGGGATAATTGCGTGCCTGTGGTACTTAATGATATGCTTTGTTTGGGTTAATATCTTTTGGGAAAGACCTGGAGGTTCAGAGTGCCTCTCTGAACTATGCAGCTTTGCTACAACGTGTTTTTCTGTAAGGTGAACAGCAATTTGCTGTCTAGCACTGAGTTCAATATTTAGTGTGGCAAAGGTGACATCTGCAAAAATGATTTGATAGTTTCTTGTAGTGACATTGAAACTGAGCTCTGATTCAGTTATTGAATGTCCTTGATTTGTCTTTCTGCACTGCATTGGATTTTCTGTTGCAGACAAAGCCTGAAGAAATTGTAATACTTTGATAAAGCCATATGTCTGGCAGATATTGAATGAAATAAATGCACCCTCTTAGCCAGAGCCTGCACAATTTCTCATGCTAGGGGATTCTCTGCTGTTGCTAGTTTATTGGTCATTTTGTCATCGTGTTTAAGAAGCTATGAAATTAAGATGTCTGTGATAATGTAGGTAATGAAAGTCATAAACTGCATTTAACGCTATTACATTAAAAATCAGTCGTTAGCAAGTTCATGCATTGAAAGATCTCTTGGTTTCTTGCTGTGATCCCCATGACTATTTCCAGGAATGCTAGACTGGTTTAGACAGCTTTTGAGGTAAACATTTCAGATGACTCTCTTTTTCTATCATTGAATGTGCACCAGTTCTGCTGGTTAACCCAAGGCAACTGTCACTTGTTTTTCTTCCAGATCAGTTGAGGTGACTCATTTTCACCCATCTTTAAAAGGAGTTCAGAGCTTTGAAAAAGGCTTTCAGAATACTGAATCACAAGAGAGAAATGCATTTTGAAATATAGTATTATGTCTAAAATATTTTCCTATTCTAAAGTCTAATAAGTTTTATTTACATGTGGTCTTTTGCATCTTGGTGAAGGAATTGCAACACTTTTTTAAAACTAGGAAGCCACTTCTAGCTCCTGTGTCACTTTGGATGATAATGCTATTTTCTTTTTCTTATACAGAAACTGTTTTTCTACAGCAACTATATTTTTATGTTCAAATGCATTTCTTATATGCTCCAGTAATTTTGTTCAACTTGCACAATTCAATTAGGATAATGGAATATTTTAATACCTTTTTTAGTAACCGTGGAAAAACATGGATGCATCCAATTAAACTATTTTTATCTGTTCTGCAGAGTTACTAACAAGCTGAAAACATTCTAGACCTTATATTATAGTCATATCTATAAAATATATCCCAACAGTTTCCTTCTTCTTGATATAAATGGTCTAAATGCTTCAAAAGAAGTTACAATATTGCTTCTGAAAACAGATGGGGAATAATGTAACCCACATTAAGTCACATTGAATCTCCAGTAGATTAAAATGATTTAGAATATGAACCTTAAAATGTGAAGCTTAATGACTTCCTGCAATTTTATTATTGCATTTGTGGATGTTTACATAACTGTATATTTTCATATCTTTTATTTTTTTAATTCTGGAGTTCTACAGGTATTTCACTTTTCCGCTTTTCCTTTTTACTGGATGCTCCCTTTGCATTGTGTCATAAAATATAAAGAAAGGGGCCCTAATTTTACTTTCTCTGCACTGCTTATCCTATGCTGTTCTATTATGTCTCCTTTGCTCATTTTGATCAGTGTTCTCTGATATTATCTCTTATTGAATGTATTTCTTTTAAAGAGATGGTGACTGGAACTGTGCAGACCAATCCATATAGGCCCTTACAATGGAACAGGATGATGGATAATGGTAGAATCTATTATATTGTCATCATAGCATCATTTCACTTTTTAATATATATTTTTTTTCTTTTCTATTGCAGCTATTTTGGAAAGATTTTCTACAATCATTCCTCAACTTAATTTTTGATCACGTTTCATCTGAAAGTCAAGAAGTTGAAATCTATGGCTGAATGCATCTCCTGGAATTGCCTGTTAGGTATGTTTTTCTTTTTCACAGTTTGCAAACATGTGATAAGATTAACATTGCATACGATTTAGAAGTTCTACTCCTGAAATGCATATTGATGTACTTAAATTCTGTGTCAGAGTGGTTTTTTGGGAGAGCTGTGGTTCCACTGTGGTCTAGCTGCCTGTCTACTTCAGGGCTAACCAAAAGCTAAAGCATGTTCTCAGGGCATTATTAAAATGCCTCGTTAACACTGACAGGCACAGGGCACCAACCACCTCACTAGGAAGCCTGTTCTACGAGCCCTCAGCTTGTGCTTCCAGCCCTGTCACCAGCTCTGGTGACTCCTCTGAGAACTTCAGAGGTCCTTCATCCCTTTTTTGTATTTTGGAGCCCAGAACTGTACACAAAATACAAGGTCAGGCCAGATGCATGCTGAATACAGTGGGAGAATCAGCTCTTTTGACTGGCTGAACCTAATGTGGTTTGCCCCGACTGCCAGGTTATAATGATGATTCTTATTGAGCCTGCAAAAAGGACAGACTGGATGAAGGAGTTGAGTACCCTCAGTATGCTTGCAGGCACCAAATTTTCAGGTAGGAAGGCTCAGATGGATCTGGATAGGCTAGATCAATGGACTGAGGCCAATTGTATGAGTTTTAACAAGGCCAAGTATGTGATGCAACATTTTGGTTGCAGAAATCCTATTCATTAATACAGGCTTGGGGCAAGGTGGCTGGAAAGGTGCATGGAAGAAAAGGGTATGGGGGTGCTAGTTGACAGTCAGCTGAACACAAGCCTGCAGTGTGCTCAGCTAGCCAAGAGGCCAGTGACATCCTGGCTCTCAGTAGAAATAGAGCAGCCAGCAGGAGCAGGGAGATGATCGTTCCTGTACTCAGGACTGGTGAGGATGCACCTTGACTGGTGTGTTCAGTTTTGGGCTCTTCACTAGAAGAAGGACATCAAGGCGCTGGAGCATGTCCAGAGAACAGCAGTGAAGCTGTGAAGGGTCTTGGAGCACAAGTCTTATGAGGAGTGGCTGAAGGAAATGGGATGGTGCAGTTTGGAGAAGAGGAGGCTCAGGGGAGGCTTTAGTGTGCTCTACAATCCTGTAGGTGCAATATAGGTTGTGGTGAGGTGGGGGTCAGCGTCTTCTCTCACATAGCTAGCAGTTGGACTAGAGGGAATGGCCTCAAGTTGTGCCAAAGGAGGTTCAGGTCGGATGTTAGGAAAAATTTCTTCTCTGAAAGAATGGTGATTGCAACAGGATGCCCATGGGGGTGGGGGAAGGTGGGGGGGAGGAGAAGGTGTAGAGTAACCAGAAGTTTTCAAGAAGGATAGTTTTCAAGAAAAGGGTAGATGTCATACTGAGGGTTGTGGTCTAGAGCAGTCAAAGGCATGGGTTAATGTTTGGACTAGGTGATATTAGTGGTCTTTCCAAACTTAATGATTCTATGATTCTCTGAAACTTGTATTTTGGAAAGATAATGTTTTGTATTAACAAGAGGTTTTATTGTAATTTGTTTCCAAAAATTGCAATATCTTCAGTGTCAACATAGATACAACCTTAGTGGCAACTGAATGATAATCTGTAACTATACTGGATCATTTACTGAAAAAAAAGAGCATACTTTCACTTCAGCGTGCTTATGGTAGCTTGGAACATCCCACTGTTTATTTGTTCCATTTTAGATAGTCCTTATCTGAGAAAGGAGATGAGAAATATCTCCTTGTGGATTGCAGATTGCAGAGTACTTACTCCATAAGCAGATTGCAGAATACTTAATGAAGGATTCAAGGTATGAATTTATATTGCATACTTAACTGGGATTATTTCAAGGTAGCAAAAACAATCGAATTGTTAGCAATGATTTAGGAAAAGAAAAGCTGTTCTCCTTTTGTGTTTATGACTTCAGAACAAATCATTGCTTTCCATCTTGAAGAGCTGGTAAGTAGACAAAACTTTTCATGACTGTAGGGTGCACTGATACTCTACTGATATGAAATATAAATATCTAGCATCTAACTCTGGATCTGCGTTGTCTATGCAAAGGCAAAGTGTGATTCAAATGGGATTAGCAGTGTGCATGAATTTAAGCATGTCCATAAATGTCTGCAAGGCTTTAGTTATTCAGTGCACTCATTATCTCAATTTGTTGTTTCGTGGAATTGTTCCAAGCATCTCATCTAATCAGATCCTCCTGCAGGCACAACATATGCTCACAATAATGTTAGCTATATATAGCTCCTTCCACAATTGTGGAGGATCAATGGAATGTTTTTATTGCCAGTGCATGTACGTGTCTGTGAATTATCCTTTAGGAATTACAATCCCTCGATGAGATTACAGTGTGAATCCTAGTGGTTATAAAGCTGATGGCAGAAGTGTAATTTCTTAGATAAAAGCATTATAATTAGATTTAGTGTATACAAATATACAGCAATGCAGTAGAAATACTATAAAATGGATGCAAGTTATATGATTTAATTAAAAAGCAAGCTTGACACTATTGCTTGTATACCAGTTGCACATGCAACCCATAAATAAAGAAAAACAATGTCACTGTGCTGAATGAAAGTCAGCCAGATGTTCTTCATTGAAAATGTTTACCTCAGTAGTAAAGCATGTTTATTTCAGGCACCTAATGACTGACCTTTCATATTTAAGCTTGAAATGCAGATGGCAAATAGCCCAGATAATTCTGTTCTCAGTAATGCTGTTGTAAATCTGTTGTGTTACTGTACATCGATGAGGGAATTGAGTGCACCCTCAGCACATTTGCTGACGACACCAAGCTGAGTGGTGCGGTTGATATGGTGGAAGGAAGGGATGCCATTCAGAGGGACCTCGACAGGCTGGAAAGCTGGACTCGGGTGAACCTGATGAGGTTCAACACGGCAAAGTGCAAGGTTTTGCATTTGGGTCGGAGGAACCCCAGGCACCTGTACAGGCTGGGAG